TGGGGGTGGGAGGGGAGGGAGGCTGGGTCCCTGGAAGGAGGCGCTGAAAGGATAAGGTCCAGTGAGATCCCTGGGGACTCTCCCAGTATAGACTAGGGCATGGGGGACGACGGACCAGGGAAACACAAGGACAGAGATATTGATGGCCCCCTCCCTCTCCCCACAGGGCCGTTCTCACCTGTGTCCCCGCTGCAGCAGCAGCCACAGCGGTTGGGTCTGGGGGTATCAACCACCGGAGCTCCTGCCCCCTCTGCAGAGCTGCCGGAGTTTTTTCTGCTCCTCCACCACTCTCCCCCGCCCCTCGGAGCTTGCCCGGAGATGGAGCGAGTAGCCGGGAGGGAGGGGCCTCTGTGGCTGTCAGAGCCCCCTCCCCTAGGACAGCTCTAGAGGGACCCTGGGGAGACTCCGCCTCCTACAAATCTGGTTGGGCCTCAGTCGCGTCATCTGGAAAATGGGGGTGGCAGGGAACTTTGCCAGTTCTTTCCACCTCCTTCCTGGACTCCCCCTTCTTCCTGCCCAGCTCCTACCCTCACTGCCCCCAGGGGCCCCCACCCCCACCTGCCTGAATCAGCAGCACTTAGCAGAAGCAATCGATGGGTAGGCATCTGTTAATGGCCCCAGAGCAGAATGCTAGGAATGATGCAGCTCTGTGTTCCCTCCCTGCCCCCAGGCAGTGGTTGGGCAGAAAAGATGGAGGGAGTTGGTGGGGGGTTTTCTAGATAACTAGGCCTCCAAAGCCACCCTGGGGGCATAGATCAGAGCCCCACTTCTAAACAAGACTTTGACTGTGGGGCTGGAACACACACCTTCCAGTTTGGGAATGTGAAATAAGGCATAAGGGGAGTGCAAATGGAGACAATCGAGGCCCCACCCCCTACCCTTAGGCCCCTTGGCTAGCGGGCAGGCTTCCTTATCAAATCACACCTTTCCAGGCCTTTCAGCTTCTAGGTAACAGAACACTTGAGTAGAGAATGCCTCTGGCAGACTTAGGTGAGTTCTAATCCCAGCTTTGCCAGACTTGCTGCACGATAGTGACTTGCTAGTTTCCTCAGTTGTCAGATAGTTATCCCAACTTGATAGTGATGTGAAAGGGGCTGGCATAGATAGGACCTGGTAGGATGCTTAAGTAACTAAAGGTGTGTGGTGTGGTGCAGCAGGGTAGAGCAGTGGAGCCTTTCAATCCATTCATCCCTCTATGAAGTCCTCCTCCATTTGCTCACTTAACTACACTCCTGATTTGTCCATTCTTCCACCCACCCATTCCTCTACCCACCCATCTGTCCATTTAGTCACCAACCCACTCATCCATTTGTATGTTTGATCGTATACTTAACCATTTGCCAACCTATCCACAGGTATCAATCCTCCATCCATCTGTCCATCTATCCATAGCTTTGCCTATCATTTATGTACCCACTTTATCCTTCCCTTTCATTCACTTATGCATCCATGATTCCATTAACCATCTACCAGTTTACTCCCATCTTGTTCATAAATCCATCAATCTACCCATGTAGCTAATTCACCCATCTGTCCATTTGTCCTCTATACCTCCATCTGTTCATTTACATATTCACTTATCTATCCTCTATCCACTTCTGATAAATCTACCCATTTATTCATCCAGTCATATATCCATCCAGTTATCCCTTTATTTCCCAACCTATCCACCACCAATCCATACAACCACCCACTTATTTATCTATCAGTCCATCTAGCCACTTATCTTCCTATCTGTCCACTTGTCTACAACCACAACTTTATACACATCTACCCACAGGCATCTGCAGATACTTCTGCTTCACTCAGTTTGAGAAGTTTGCAAGGAAGCAGTGAAGTGAAGGTAGAAGTAAGGCTGCAGCTAGAGGTCTCTCTCCCCATTCCAAAGGAGTCACCACCCAACCCCCTCCGCCAGTACATCCCTCCTGATTAAAAAGAATGAGACCAGTCAGTCAGTGGGTAGGCCTGTCTGGCCAGATGGTATTTTGGCTGCATAGCCTTTACACACACACACACACACACACACACACACACACACACACACACTGCTAGAACATTGAGCATGGATCATACCCCCTCCCAACATCCCCAACCCCAAATGCAGAGTAGCCAGGCTTGCAGACATAAATTAAAAATAAAATAAAACCGAGTTGGTCTCTGGGAGGGAGAGCTCATGCAGAGATAAAGGCAAATGCCCCTGGGAACCTGGGCCAAGAAGGAAAAGTTCCTGCCCGTCCCTCAGGAGCCTCCCTCCCCAAGGACTTCTGCCATAAGATGGGGTCATTAACACCAGCTATAGATAGGCCTCTAGCCCCTTTAATGTCCATCTTCCAAACCATAAGATTTTGATGCCAGCCTCCATTTTCCCACCACAGCCCAAGGGAGTGAATGGCATCCTGGAGGGTAGAAAGAGAAGGGAATGGATGCAGCCTGCAGGTCTTTAGTTGGCTTCTCCAGGTTCTAGGTCTGGGTCAGGGGACCCCACACACTCCTTGCTGAGCCGTACAATTTCCTGGGATAGAACTTCCATGTCCTAAGAAACAAAATGAGTGATCAGAGGCTAGAGAAGGGAAAAGGGGCAGCTCTGTTAGCAAACATAGGGCATCATCTGTGATTTCCTCCTCATCCCAAATCCGTGCCCAGTGGTATCTGGCCTTGGATGAGAAGGTGTTGGGAGAAGCTCACAAAGTCCCAGGCCGAGGGCATGACACAGACAAGTTGTGAGGATGGGTCTAGAACTAAGAAGGGGTGGTCACCTGCTGTGGCCTGGTGGTGCTAGAGGATACAGATTTTACCCTAACCACCTTCTCCTCTAAAACATGTGAGCTTGCTTTTCCAAAGCAGAAGCTGAATCTGACTCCCTCAAAGATGAAGGAGTATTTGAGTCAGGGGGATTAACATGTGGGGAGTGGGAATCATCAAGGATCTATAGCAGACAAATAGATTCATAAGTGAACTTTGTAGGAGACAACAAGTAAGTAGGTAGGCAGGTGACAAATAGGTAGGTAAAAGGTAAGACAAAGAGTGACAAGTGGATGAGAGAACTATACTCTCTCATAGCATCAGGAAATGGGTAGAAGAGTTGGGGAAGATGATTCCACAGATAAGCAGTACGTTGATAGATGGACAGGTGGGGAAATGGTGAGTGCATGCATGTATAAATGGATGAGTGGGTGGGTGGAAGGACACAGGGAAGAGTGGTAAGAGTAAACCATTAAGTTGCTTGGAGGGTGGAAGATGAGGGTACAAAATGGAGTGTCATGGCTGGGAGGACAAGGACCAGGTGGATGATCAGAGGATTGGCAGATGACCCAGGGATTGTGTGGCTAGGGTGGCAGATGACTGGAGGGACATGTGGGTAGGCTGGTAATGCACACTTGCCTTGTGCAAGTGCATATTCTTGGTGAGCTGCTCCTCCAACATGTTCTGCAGCTTCTTGTTCATCTCCCGAAGGTTTTCATCGCCTGGCTTCACTAGGTCTCTCAGGACGCTGCCCAGCCCGCTTCGGTCTGTGTGGCCTGCTGCCACAGATACATCTGCAAGGGCCTAGGCTGAGCACCACCCCCTCAGCAGAGGGCAGAGTGTTGGGGGGAGTGGGCAGAGCCAGAGGAGGAAGAAGAAAAGAAAGAGCAGGCAAGAGGGGAGGGGGAGAAGCCATGTTATGTTGTAGGCAGAGAGACTTCCACACGTAGCTGTTAGCTATGAGATCCAGAAAAACAGGGATAATACCTAACTCATGGCACTGGAAGAGCACATAGCAAACCTGCAGGGCATGTCAGTGGTTATTATTAACTAGGAAAAAAAACAGGGAGAGGAGGGAAGATTTGAAAGAAGGAAGCAAAAGAAAGGAGGAGAGGAGAGAGAATGTAGTAGACAGGTGGGAGAGAAGGAGCAGCTCAGGGAGGATGGAGGAGAGTTGTGTACTCCTACACAGCAAAATCCTGTCTCAAAAAACAAACAAAAAAATAGAGATAGAACAATAGAGCTACTAAAAGATGAAGAAGGTGAACAGAAAAAAATACATAGTGAAGACAGAAAGGCCAGAAGGAGGGAGAAAGAGAAGGAAGGAAGGACACAGAAGAAAGGAGACAGAGAAGGCCCAGGAAAACCACTAGAGGATGGAAAGGGTAGAAATGGCCAGCACAGAGAGGAAGGGGAGGCCAGATAAAAACACAGTCCCCTCCATGGATTATGGTCTGATCTAGTTTCACTAAGTTCCAAGAGGAGAGAAGTTGCAGCAAAGAACAATGGAGGAGAAACAGGTGAAGGTTACACTGCAGATGAGGCTGGGGAAGGGACACTGACCGATCCGGCTGTCCATGACGTAGGTCTCAATAATAGCACTTTTCCTGCAGAGGTCCTCTGCCATAGAGGCACTGCTCACCTCCAGGTGTTTCACCTGCAAGATGGTCCACCCCACCTCAGATCCCTCAACTTCATGAGCTCTCCCATGGATCCCAACCAGACCTCCTTCTCACTGCTTCCCACCCCAGGGCACTTTGGGTAGGGACCTAGCAGGCAGACAGACAGCACCTTCTCCTCCAGCATCCATTTCTCCTGCTGTGTCTCTGCCAGCCTTTGAAACAGCTCAGCCACTTCCTCATCTGACAGCTCTGCTGGCCTAGGGGGCTGGGCCTGAGGGCTGCTGGATAAGGACTATAAGAAAGAGGAGAGAAAGGGCTGGGGAGACGGCTGAGCATCAAGGGCAGCACTTGCTGCTCCCCCGAAGGACCCAGTTCAGTTTGCAGCATCCACATGGCGGTTAACAATGGTCAGTAATTCTAGCTCCAGGGGATCCAATACCCATGTCTGGCCTTGGCAGGCATGGCACAAACCTAAACTAAAAAAGCATTTTTAAGAAAAAAAGAGGCCAGGCATGGTGCCACACACCTTTAGTCCCAGCACTTGGGAGGCAGAGGCAGGCAGATCTGTGAGTTCGAAGCCAGCCTGGTCTACATAGCGAGTTCCAGGCCAGCTGGGGCTACAGGGACACCCAGTCTCAAAAAAAAAAAACCCACAAGACAACAACAACAACAACAACAAAAAACTGAATGCCTGACGTGGTGAGGCAGGTGGATCTCTGTAAGTTCAAGGCCAGCCTGGTCCACATAGTGAATTCCAGGCCTATATGGAGACCCTGTCTTAAAAAGACCAAAATAAAAAAAAAAACTGAAAGAGGGGCTAAAGAGATGGCTTAGTGGTTAAGAACACTTGCTGGTCTTCTAGAGGACCTGAATTTGGTTCCCAGTACCCATGTTGGGTGGCTCACACCTACCTGGAACTCCAGCTCTAAGGGATCTGATACCTTCTGGCCTCAATGGGTACCCATACACATGAACACAGACACATATATATTTACATAATTTAAAATAAATCTTTTTTTAAAAAAAAGAAAGAAGAGGGGCTGGAGAAATGGTTCAGCAGTTAAAAGCACTGACTGCTCTTATAAAGGACCCAGGTTCAATGCCCAGTACCCACATGGTGGCTAAGAACCATCCTTAAATCCAGTTCCAGGGGATCTGATGCCCTCTTCTGACCTCTATGGGCATTGCATGTACTTATATACATGCAGGCAATACACTCATACACATAAAATAAAAATAATAAAATATTTGGGGCTGGAGAGATGGCTCAGCAGTTAAGAGCACTGACTGCTCTTGCAGAAGACCCGGGTTCAATTCCCAGCAGCACGACATGAGTGCACTTACCTATATGTAACAATACATGCATACACATAAAATAAAAATAATAAATAAAATATTTGAGAAAAAAGAAAGGATTAATAATAATAATAATAATAATAATAAATACTAACAAATGAGAGAGAAAAGAGAATCCAGTCTAGGCTCAGCAGCACCCATCCAAATGAGTGAGGAAGAACTGGAGCTAGAGGCCAGACTTGGTACCCTCAGAAACTTCATATTCCCACTGCATATAGTGATGTATGCTTTTGATCCAGCACTCCTAAGGCAGAGGCAGGTGGATCTCTTGTGAGTTTGAGGCCAGTCTGATCTACATAGCAAGTTCCAGGCCAGCTAAAGCTACATAGTAAGACCTTGTCTCAATAAAAAGAAAGAAAGATGAAAGAAAGAAAGAAAGAAAGAAAGAAAGACCTCTGGACATGGCTACAGACACTTGGACAGAAATCCCTCAAGAAAAAGTATTGCTGATATTGGTTTCTCAAGACTAGATGGACAAGTCAGGGCCTGAGGACTCTGGCATGAACTTATTAAATGGAGTCAGAAAGTGTTACCACCACAAGAGGGCCTGACTAAGAGGATTAAGGGAAATCCAGTAGCAAATGAGAGCTAACTCCCAGCTGACAGAAAATGGAGGCAAGAGTAGAACAAGCTAAATGACACCATTAGGAAGCAAATAGAAAAACCCAAAGGTGGGATGCTTCCTACAAAAGGTTTGGTTTGTTCCACAAGTTGATCAAGTTGATCAGACTCAAGAGATTTAAGGAAGGGACAAAAAACAAAAACAAACCAACAAAAATCCAACCATCAACAAATGCAAGGAGTATTCTGAAACTAAATGCTAGGTTTTTTTTTTAAATGTGTATGAGTGTTCTGCCTGCATGTATGTAAGGGCACCCATGTCTTGCAAAACCCTCAGAGGCCAGAAAAGGGTGTAGGATCCCATGGAACTGGAGTTATGGACAGTTGTTAGCCCCTATATGGGTGCTAGGAACTGAACCCAGGTTCTCTGTAAGAGCAGCCAGTACTCTTAACCACTGATCCATCTCTGCAGCCCCTGAATGCTAGTTTTTACAATAAAGGACATTTTGGGCCCACTAAATACCTGAATAAGATAAAAGATCAAAGCAAAGGCAGGCAGATCTCTGTGAGTTTGAGGCCAGCCTGGTCTACATAGGGAGTTATAGGCCAGCTGAAGCTACAGAGAGACCCTGTCTCAAAAAGACAAAAAAAAAATTAGCTGAGATGAAAATTTACCCATTTGGGAAGGATAGAGACATCAAGTGAACAAAAACAGGCTACTCATCATGTCATATAGGTTTTAAAAAAAAGAGAGCTGGGGATGTAGGGGCATACACCTCATGAGGAGGCAGAGGCAGACATATGTCTTGTGGGTTGGAGGCCAGCATGGTCTATATAGTGAGTTCCAGGCTAGAAAAGGCTACATAGTGAGACTCTGTCTCAAAAAAAGAAAAAAGAATTTAAGACAGGGTCTCATGTAACCCAGGCTGGCCTCCCACTCTCTGTGTAGCTGAGAATGGCCTTGAACTCCAGATCTTCCTGCCTCTACCTCCCAAGTGCTAGGATTACAGGCATGTGCCACCACTCCCAGATTAAACCAAAAATTAATAAAAAGAAGAGCTGGAAAGATGCCTCAGTGGTTAAGAACCTATATTGCTTTTGCAGAGAACCTGAGTTCAATTTCTAACACCCATGTCAGATGGCTCACAACTGCTTGTAACTCCAGTTCCACAGGACCTGATGCCCACTTCTGGCCTCCAGGTGCACAAACCCACACTCAGACATATACAATATACATGTAATTATTAATTTTTTTTGTCTTTTTGAGACAGGGTCTCCCTGTAGCCCTAGGTGGCCTGGAACTCACTATGTAAACCAGGCTGGCCCTGAACTCACAGAGATCCGCCTGCCTCTGCGATTCCTAGTACTTTTTAAAAATTGAAAAAAAATTCAGGCAGGTATGGTAGCACACACTTTTAATCCCAGCAGTCTGGTTTATGTAGCAAGTTCCAGGACAGCTGGAGCTACAGGGAGACCCTGTCTCAAAAAAAGACAGAAAAAGGGCTAGGAATGTAGCTTGGTGGTAGAACAATTGTCTAGCATGTACAGGACCCTGGGTTCAAGTTTCAGTATCACAAAAAAGTTTTCTTTTAGATAGGTTCTTACTGTGTTGCCTGGCCTAAAACTACTAGATTCAAAAGATCCTCTTGCCTCAGCTTCCTTAATAACTGGAATTGCAGGCATGTGCCATTTATAATAGCATTCTCTGGATGGTGAAAATATGATTTTTTTTGAGACAGGATGTTCCTGTAGCCCCAGCTGGCCTGGAACTTGCTATGTAGACCAGGTACTTATATGGCAGCTAATAACTGTCTGTAATTCCAGTTCCAGGGGATCCGATGCCCTCTTCTGATCTCTGTGGGAACTGTATAACATGAGTGTACTTACATAACCACAGGCAATACATCCATACACATAAAATAATAAATAAAATATTTTTTAAAAAGTTTTACAAGCTGGGTGTGGTGGCAAACACCTTAAATTCCAGAGAGTCAGAGACAAGCAGATCTCTATGAGTTTGAGGCCAGCCTGGTCTATATAGTGAGTTCCAGGCCAGCTGGGGCTACAGGGAGACCCTGTCTCAAAAAGACCAAAAAAAAGTGGTTGCAGAGCACATGAAGTGACAGATGGCAATAATAATGAATAGTAAATATAAATTGGGAAACGGAATCAGCCATGGTGGCTCACGCCTGTGATCCCAGCACTTGGGAGGCTAAGGCAGGCAGGCCTCTGTGCTTTTGAGGCCAGCCTGGTCTACATATTGAGTCACAGGCCAATCAGGGTTATATAGTGAAACGTCTCCAAAAAAATCATACGTAAGTTGGAAAAAGGAACTTCCTACATGGGTGGTATACTTAATGCAAGGCTCATACTTTATACTACCAGGAAAGGAGGGATAGCCGAGAAATGATAAAATATAGGATCAGAGAAAATGATTGGCAGATACCAGTCTTTCAAGTTGATGACTCTGGGGAAGGGTTGACAAAAATGCTTGTGCCAGGGGCTGGGCCTGCAGCTCAGTGGTACAGTACATATTGACAAGTGTTGAGCAGGCTTACGTATGTGTGGAGCTCCGTGTTTAATCCTCAGCCCCAGAGAGAGCAAGAGAGAGAGAGAGACAGACAGACAGACAGAGACAGAGACAGAGAGAGACAGAGAGACAGAGATAGGGGAAAGGAGAGGGTGAGAAATGAAAATACTTGTTCGAAGCTCAGTGTAGAGGACTTGAAGTGAGGAGAGAATGGGGGTGCTGCAGACTTTTGGTAGGTGAAACTTTCCCTTACCCTGGCTGGGATGGCTGAACTCTCCTTCTCCCGCAAGATCTCCCGGTAGCTGAAGGAAGAGATGCTACTGCTGTCCCCTGTCTGGGTCCGGCTTGGTGAGTTCATCTCCGAGAGAACCAGCTCCTCAAGGCCTGTGTAGTGGAAGAAAAAGTTACCTGAGTCCCAATACCTGGGAGTCTCAAGGCAGCAACCAGAAGATAAAGACAGAAATAGATTTGACAGAGATGGAGAGAGGCACTTGGGCATGGACAATGGCAGAGCAGACATAAGGACTGAAACAGAAAGAAAAAGGAGCTATCTCTGTTAGGGATATGGATGAGGCTGGGAGAAAAGGGGGAATGAGGGGACACAATAATCAAACAGCATATGCACTCCAATTTGGATGCAGAGAAAGGAAGCTAAAGAGCTAGAGTACACAGAAACACTTATACGCAGGGGAAACCCCAGAGATAAGAAGCCAGAGCACATGACTGGATGGACAGAGACCAAAGAAAAACACATTCATAGCTAAGACAGAAAAAAAGATGTAGACATGCTTGTAGCCATACACCTAGCTCTCAGTTATATCCAACAGACAAGGAAGATGTATAATATACAATTCTTATCTATTCCAGGATTCTTAAATGAATCTGTAACAAAATGTTTCCATTCAGGAGACTGAGTGCCTCAGTGAGAAGTTGATTTGGTGAGAGAGTTACGTTGTTGTCATGTCACTTAAACACTGGCTGAGCAGGAATTACTTAAACCCAAGAATTCAGTGTGAGCCTGGGCAACATAGGAAGATTCTCTCTCAAAAAACAAACAGAGCTGGATATAGAGGGGCACCCACCTTTTAATCCCAGATGTCTGGAGGCAGAGGCAGGTGGATCTCTGTGAGATCAAGGCCAACCTGGCCTACATAGTGAGTTCCAAGCCAGCCCCACTACAGGAAGACCCTGTCTCAAAAAGACCAAAAAAAAGAAAGAAAGAAAGAAAGAAAGAAAGAAAGAAAGAAAGAAAGAAAGAAAGAAAAAGAAAGCAGGGCAAGGGGGCTGGAGGGATGGCTTAGTGGTTAAGAGCACTGGCTGCTCTTGCAGAGGATCCAAGTTCAGTTCCCAGCACCCACATGGTGGCTAACACCTGTCTGAAACTCCAGTTCCAGGAGATCTTGATGCCTTCTTCTGGCCTCCGTGGGCATCATACACACAAGGTGCACTTACGTACATGCAGGCAAAACAGTAATACACATAAAATAAAAATAATAAATCAAGAAAATTTTAAAGTTTAAAAAATAGTAATAATAATAGTGATGATGATGATGAAGAAGAAAATAGTGCAGTGCTGCTGCCTGGGGAAGTCTGTCTCCCTTAATCCACGGGGAGTTCTGGGAGGGGAATGACTCAGAGGGACTTGTATCAGGGATCCTAGGCTCAAATGTGAGGATTTGCTGGGCGTGGTGGCACATGCCTTTAGTCCCAGCACTTGGGAGAAAGAGGCAGGCAGATCTCTTTGTGTTCCAGGGCAGCTGGGGCTACAGGGAGACCCTGTCTCAATAGGATAAAAAAAATGTGAGGATTTATAGAATCCAAGAATGTGATATAGTAAATTTAGAGACATCAAGTGAGATGTGGAAGCATGGAAGTGGGAAGACAGAAAGAAGACACAGACAGAAAAAAGAGATAAAGGAACAAAGAGAAGGGGAAGAGAAAAAGAGAGCTAGAAAAAGCAAGTGGGGAAATAAAGGTAGATGCAGATACAGATGAAAACAGAAAGAACAACATGACACAAACACAGGCGGAGAGAGACACAGAGAAGACAGACACAAACAGTGCAAAAATAAAAAGAGAAACGGTTTGGGTGGGACCAGAGACTAGAGCAGGGCGGAGCAAGGTGTGTGAAGCAGCTCGCAGGTCTAGTTAAGCCCAGCCCTGCCTGTCCTGCTGTCTCACCTGATCGGCTCTTACTGTTGGTGAGGATGTCTTGTAGTCTTTCCTGCAGCTTGTCAGCCCGTTTTCGCTCCAGGTGCAGCTGCCGTTTAAGGTCTTTGAGCTATAGGTGGAGGACAAATGAGAGATGTTGCCCAAGGGATTCATAAGGGAGGGGAGGGATATACAGACCTGGAGGGAGCCTTGCTTGGGGGCCTCCCCATCTTACCGCAGCACTGCCCTTCTTTTCCAGAATCCGCTGCCCATCCACTGTGTCCTTAACCTCCTGTGATTACAGAAGGTACAGCTGGTAGATGATGCCACAATTGTCTGCAGTGTACCCCTCCCTGATCCATTCTGCAACCTGAGGCCAGGGCTGTGTCTGGGACCACAGACAGACCACAGACCTGCTTCAGGCTGTTGATGGTCTTCATATGGCCATCTTGCTCCTCCTGGGCCTGCTGGAGCTGCTCCTGCATATTCTGAAGTTCCTTCTCCTTGGCCTGTAAAGCAAACAGCTCAGGCCACTGCATGAGAAGTCCCTGTCCTCCCTTAGGGGTACACAGTACCAAGAAACAGGAACACCACCAGTGAGATGCACCTTCAGCTCAGCAGTGTGCTCCTGCCGGCACTGCTTCAGGGCTTCTTCTTGATCCTGTTGTTGCTGCTGCAAGGATTCCTATAAGAAGAGGCACAGGGCTGCTCACAGGCCCCAGAAGACAACATACCCAGTTATAACTTCAGCATGGATCTTGGGGTGTGAAGAAAACAGTTTTGAGACAAGGTCTCAATATGTAACCTGGGTTGGCCTTGAACTCTCAGTCCTCCTGTCTCAGTCTTCTGAGTGCTGGGACTTACAGGTAACTCACTAACATCCCAGGCAGAAAACATCTTATAGGAAACATCATATGCCCTTAGCCAGAAATATGAAGTGTAAGCCTGCTCCTTTCACATAGTAGAGGTAGTGATTTGCATTTATACTTTTTTATTTAACAAAACATAACACTGCATGCCAGGAATATTCAAAGGGTTTTATATATCCTAACTCATTTTCTTTAGTCTCCTTAAAATATATGGCATTCTTTTTTAATTTTTAAAATTTTATTTATTATTTTTATTTTATGTGTATGAGTACATTTCCCGCATGTATGTGAGTGCACCCGTGTCATGCAATGCCGCAGAGGTCAGAAGAGGGCTTCAGATTCCCCTGGAACTGGAGTTAAGGACGGTTTGTAGCTGCAATGTGGGTGCTGGGAATCGAACCCAGGTCCTCTGCAAGAGCAGTCACTGCTCTTAACTGCTGAGCCATCTCTCCAGCCCCAATAAATGGCATTCTTTCCTTTTGTTTTCTTTTTCTTTTTTTTGAGACAGGGATTCCCTGTAGCCCCAGCTAGCCTGGCCTATATAGACCACACTGGTTTCAATCTCATAGAGCCTGCCTCTGCATCCCAAGTGCTGGGATTAAAGGCATACGCCACCATGCCCAGATTGTTGTCATTATTTTTACTACTAGGAATTGAACCCAGGGCCTCACTTATTCTAAGAATGAGGGCTACCACTGAGCTATATTTCCTGTCCCTGTTTATCTCCTTTCTACCAAAGAATGGACCACCCAAAGATGAGGTAAATTGTACAAGACCACACAGTTAGGAAGTGGACTAGCTAGCATTCAAACCTAGAGACAACCAGCTGCAGTTTGTGCTCTTCTTGCTACAGGACATTGCCTCTTATGTATTATCATGAGTTTTCCAGAAAAAAAGGCAATAAAAGTTTTTTTTTTAATTTTAAGATTTTATATATGCCAAGCATGGTGCCATACACCTTTAATCCCAGCACTGAGGAGGCAGAGGCAGGTGGATCTCTGTGAGTTCAAGGCCAGCCTGGTCTACATAGTGAGTTCCAGGCCAACTGGAGCTACAGGGAGACCCTGTCTCAAAAAACAAAAAAGACAAAAAAACCCAAGAAATTTTATTTTTATTTTGTGTGTATGTAAATGCACCACATGTATGCAGTGCCCACAGAATTCAGAAGAAGGCATCAGATCTCTCGGAACTGGAGTTACAGGCAATTGAGAGCTACCATGTGGGTGCTGGGAACTGAACTATATCCTCTGAAAGAGCAGTAAGTGCTCTTAACCACTGAGTCATCTCTCCAGCTCCCAATAAAGGTTCTTATTCAAATAAAATTAGTGTATTACAAAAACAGAAAAAATAGTGTGTTATAATGATTTTTCTGACAGAACAGTCTAGGAGTAAGAAATGCCTGTTCAAATCTGCATAAAGGCAGGGGAGCCAGGGACCTGACATGCTGCCTTAGCTGCTGGTCATTTCCTAGTTCTCTCCAGAAGACTGTTACTGAGCCAGGGGACCAAGAAGATACTTATAAGTCCAGATACTTAGATACTTACTAAGTTCCACAACTTGATCAATCCCACTCTCCTGGTTTGGCATGGTTACCCTAACCAGCTTTGTACCTTACCAGATACTACCAACTCACCTCGGCCTCCTTCAAGCGCCGTTCAAACCAGCCCTTGGCTCCATCCATAGAGTGTACCTGAGCTTGAAGTTCTTCCACTGTGTGCTGAAGATTCTCCAATTCCTTTGTTCGAGCCTGGAAGGGGAAAGTATTCAGGGATTGGACAGCAGAGGATTGGGCACCACACATCACTCACTTGCCTATCAGCAACACTACGGTCCTCAGGTTTTAGAGGAAAAAGGGTATCATTAACCCACTCACCTTCTCCTCTCGAATCTGCCCACGGAGCTCCTCTTCCTGCCGTTTCTTGTCCTCATGCAGCTCTCGGAGCTCACGTTCATACCGGGCTCGCACCCCTAGCACCTCCTTCTCATGCCGTAGTCGGACAGCTCCTAGCTCTTCCTTGTGCTGAGTTTTCTCCTGCAGTGTCTCCATTGCTAGCTCATCCAGCATGACCTTCCGCTTCTCAGCGCTCTGGGGACCAGGAGGGTAGGCCAAGAAACTGGCATTTAGCCCTCTTCCAAAACTACGAAAGGACTACCATTCTGTTCCATTCCCGAAGAACTAGCCAGATTGCACTTCCCAGGCCCTTCAAACTGGCTTTTAGAAATGATCACTTTTTTTCCTCTTCCCATTCCTAGCATTTGGCCATATCACTTCCTATCCCCATGGACTGAGCCATTTCTTTTCCTCTTCCCATAGTGTCCTACCTTACGAGCTTCCTGGAGTTCCTGAGTCAACTGTTCTTTTTCCTGCCCCATTTCTTGAAGTTGTTCCAGCAGCCGACTATTGGCTCTTAATGACTCCTAATACAGAAGACAGGGAGAGATGGAGGGAGGGAGAGAAAGACGAAAGGAGTTCCTAGTAGGTGTCCATCATCTGGGACACTTCTGGTATACCTTCCCCCAGATTGACTGTTATCATCTCAATCGTAGTGGGAAACATACTTGCTCCCCAGTACGCATTCTTTTCTATTCTTTTAGCAACAGAATTTATAGTTTGGAACATGGCAGTCTAGAAAGTATTTCTCTCCTCCTTCAGTTAGTTCTACCCATGTGATTCATTTCTTTTCCTTTGTACTCTGTTTTGTTTTCTTTTATTTGAGATGGGGTCTTATACAAAAGTCTTTTCCTTGAGATAGGCCCATATCTTGCTATGTAGCCAATGATGACCTTGAACTCCTAATCCTCCTGCCTCTACCTCCCAAGTGCTGAAATTATAGGTATTTGACACCATGGCTGGGCTTGTTTTCTTTTCTTTCTTTCTTCTTTCTTTCTTTCTTTCTTTTATTATTATTATTTTTTTTTGGTCTTTCGAGACAGGGTTTCCTATAGCCCTAGCTGGCCTGGAACTCACTATGTAGACCAGGCTGGCCTTGAACTCAGAGATCCACCTGCCTCTGCTGAGATTAAAGGCATGTACCACCACACCTGGCACTTGTTTTCTTTTTTGAAACTGGGTCTCACTGTGTTGCCCAGGCTGGCCTTGATTCCTTGACTAAAGTAATCCTGCCTCAGTTGTATAGAACTGGTGAATGTAACTTAGGTCTTTCATATATTATTATGACTTTTTTTGAGAGAGGCTTACTGTGTCACTCAGGTAGGCCTCAAATTCATAACTTTCCTGTCTTAACTTTATGAGTGCTGGTATTATAGTCATGAACCACCATGCTCAGCAGATTATGTTCGTAAAAGAGTATTCTCCTTTACTACTATTCCCTGGCCCCATTCCTCCTTCTTTCCATATGTAGTGCAAATATTAAGATAAAAGTCTGAACAACCAGCCATGCCGGAAGATCAAAGGTTGCATCTTGGGCACATCTATGAAGTGCCCAAGCCTAAGAGACACATCTACAATGCAACCTCTACACCTAAGGCTCACAGAACATAGAACATGGGATGAAGAGAACATCGATTAAGCTCCCTCATGCAACAGAGGGCCAGGAAAACAAAAGGCCACAAATGGCCAACATACAGAATAAGAGTCTACAGAGTGTAGGTCCTTGGACAGGACTCCTGTATTAAAATCCACCCACCCAGGGCTCAGAGACCATTGTGGGAGAGGGGGCAGAAAGACTGTAAGACCCAAGGAGGAGGTGTATGACGATATGGAAATAGAGTTCTAAGACTCCTGGGATTCTTCTCATACGAACCTACGGCAATGGTGTCAGCATGCACAAGACCCATGCAAACTCAAGCAGACAAAACTGTGTAAATGGACAATAGGCCCCAATCTTAGTTGAAGACTAATTGGTAGCTGATTACTGCTGGGTGAGGAAGAGCTGATCTTCTTAAAGGGAAGGACTCTAGATAGGCTGACTAGATCCCAGTGGATGAACTTGCACTGAGGAACATCTACTGACACTAACTTGACATGATAGGCCTTGACACAAATGACAGAATGTATGAATTCCAGTGGGGGGCTGTGGGAGGGTGTCAATGTGGAAGGGGGTATAAAAGATGATTAAGATATTCTGTATGAGCCGGGCGTGGTGGCGCACGCCTTTAATCCTAGTACTCGGGAGGCAGAGGCAGATGATCTATATGAAAAAAAAAAGATATTCTGTATGAAAAACAAAAATTCAATAAAAAAAATAGGTTGCATGGCTAGAGACATGGCTCAGTAGTTAAGAGCACTGACTGCTATTGCAGGGGACCTGGGCTTGATTCCCAGCACCTGCATGGTGGTTACGAACCGTCCTCAACTCCAGTTCCAGGGAAATTCGAAACCCTCTTCTGACCTCCACGGAATTTCACAACACGGGTGCACTCACATACATGCAGGCAATATACTCATATACATAAAATAAAAATAATAAAAAAAAAATAGGTTGCAATGGGGGCTGGAGAGATGGCTCAGCGGTTAAGAACACTGATTGTTCTTGCAGAGGACCCAGGTTCAAATCCCAGCACCCACATGGCAGCTAACAACTGTCCATAACTCCAGCTCCAGGGGATCCGACAGCCTCTTCTGTCCTCTGGAGGCACTGCACAGCACGGGTGCACTTACATACAGGCATAACACTCATACACATAAAATAAAAATAATAAATAAAATATTTTTAAAAGTATCATCAGTTATCCCTGAACAACCTATTTGGTTTTATGTTTGTTTTTCCTTTTGAGACAGGGTGTTAGTCTATAGCCAGGGCTGGCCTTAAACTTGCAGCAGTCCTTCTATCTCAGACTACCAAGGGCTACCATGCCAAGCTCCCTACTTAGAGTTTCAAATGAAAGAAAACTAAATGTATGTGTATGTCTGTGTGTGTATGTTGTATGCATGTGTTGTGTATGTCAGGAGGGGTTGTACATGCAGAAACCAGAAGACATCAGGTATCTTCCTCTATCACTGTTGACCTTATTCCCCCTTGAGCCAGAGTCTCTCACTGAACCTATTGTTCACAATTTTTCATTAGGCTGGCTGCCCAGCAAGCCCCAGTAATCCTCCTGTCTTTACCACCACCCCAGCACTGGATAGGTGCACTTGTCCACACCCAGCTTTTTATGTGGTTACTTCATATCTGAACTCAGGTCCTCATGCCTGCACAGCAAGCACTCTTACCCACTGAAACATCTCTCTAGCCACTTTCCCCCATTTTGAGACAGGGTCTCATGTATCCCAGGTTAGCCTCAAACTTGCTATGCAACTAGGATGACCTTGAACTTCTGATTCTTGTCTCCATCTCCTAAGTACTGAGATTACAGAAGTGTGTTACAAAGCCTGGTTTATGCAGTGTTATGGATTGAACCCAGGGCTTTGTGCACACTATATAAACTTTCTTATTTAATCTAGAATCATTCTGATTTCTTCAGATTGAGAATTCATCTGAAAACCCAAAATCTGAAACTTTATTTATTTACTTATTTTTATTTATTTATTTATTTTTTGGTTTTTTGGGACACGGTCTCCCTGTAGTCCCACCTGGCCTGGAACTCACTATGTAGACCAGGCTGGCCTAGAACTCACAGAGATCCATCTGCTTCTGTGTCCTAAGTGCTGGGATTAAAGGTGTGCACCACCATGCCTGGAAAAAGAGATAAGTACCCCAACAGGGACATGAATCCTGGGCATTCAGACTAAATATCTAATGTTCTATCAAATGAGCTATCCAGGCAATCTGAAACATTTTTATTCTTCTTCCAGACAGGGTCTTGCTATGTTGCCCTAGATGGCCTGATACTCACTATGTAACCCAGGTTGGCCTAAAACTTGTGGTAATCCTCCTGCCTCAGCCACCTGAGTGCTAGGAATACAGGCATACCAGGCATACCAAGTTTAAAATCTGAAATTCTTTGGGGCTGGAGAGATGACTCAGCAGTTAAGAGCACTGGCAGAGGATCCAGGTTGGAGTCCCAGCACTCACATGACAGCTAACAACTGTCCTAATTGCAGTTCCAGGGGATTCAATGCCCTCTTCTGACACCAAGGGCATTGCATGACATAAATGCACTTATATACATACAGACAATACACTCATACACATAAAATAAAAATAATAAATAAAAGCCAGCGTGGTGGCACACCCCTTTAATCCCAGCACTCCTGAGGCAGAGGCAGGTAGATCTCTGTGAGTTCAAGGCCAACCAGGGCTTCATAGTGAGTTCCAGGCCAGCTTGGGCTGCAGGGAGACCCTGTCTCAAAAAGACCAAAAAAAATAATAATAATAGTAATAATAATAATAATAATAATAATATTTTTTAAAAAATCTGAAATTGGGGTTAGAGCAATGGCTCAGTGCTTAAGAGCACTTGCTTCTCTTGTAGTGGAACCAGGTTCAGTTCCTGACACCCACATGGTGGCTATCAACTGTCAATAATTCCAGTTCCAGGGGATCTAATGCCCTCTTATAGCTTCCATGGGCACCACATACGTAGTACATATACATACACACACACACACACACACACACACACACACACACACGTGCGTGCGCAGGTAAACGCTCTTACATGTAAAATAAAAATAAAATTTTAAAATATTTGAAAAACTCTGTGTACATAATGCCACATACGGAAAATTCCACACCTGACCACCTGTGATGGGTCACACTCAAAATGCATGAGCATTAAGAATATTTTATGCTGGGCATGGTGGCGGATGCCTTTAATCCCAGCACTCGGGAGGCAGAGGCAGGTGGATCTCTGTGAATTCGAGGCCAGTCTGGTCTACATAGCAAGTTCCAGGACAGCTGGGGCTACAGGGAGACCCTGTCTCAAAAAAAAAGAATATTTTACAAAGCTGGGTGTGGTGGCGGATACCTTTAATCCCATCACTCAGGAGGCAGATACAGGTGGATCTTGGTTGAGTTCAAGGCCAGCCTGGTCTACATAGTTAGTTCTAGGTCAGGTGGAGCTACAGGGAGACTATATCTCAAAAAAAGACCAAAAAATAAAAAAAGAACATTTTACAAAATTACCTTCAGCCTATATGTATAAGGTATGTTTAGATTTGGGTTTTATCCCCAAGATACCTCAGTAAGTACATGCAAATGTTCCCAAAGGACACAATCTGAAACAAATACTTCTGCTCATAACTATTATATTTGAGAGACATTTAATCTATGCTATGGAATCTGAATGGAACCCCAGACTAACTGAAGAGACTCAGTCTTACAGAAGTAAAATGACTTGTGTCAGGGTATATAGGAACTAGTATGTTTGGGAGCCAGAAAGGAATCTAGGTCTTCCTGACTCTATAGTCTTCCCACTGCTCCTCAAGGTCAGCACTAGGAAACTACAAGATAAGTCAAAGTCAGAAGTGTCACCTGGAGCTGGGAGTTGAGGTCATCTTTCTGTCCCATAAGATCTTCGTACTTGGCCTGCCGCTGCTGTAACTCAATTGCCAACTCACTAGTCTGTTCCCGAAGTGTATTCAGTTCTTGTGTCTTTGCTGTCTGGATCTAGAGAAAGTAGTCCTGATGGGAAATGGAATCAAGGGAGCCCCAGGGCCCAGGAAGTCCTGGGCCTCCCAGTTCTAAGGAGACAGGGAGAGAAGTATGAAGAGAGTAGAAAGAAAATTTCAAACAGAAAAGCAGTGAGGATGGAATAAAATACTACGTGGCAATAAGAGAACAGACTCATGCTGCATAAGGATAAACATACATACATAAACGGGTATGACATAAAGGTGCCAGAAAGAAACCAGTGACAAAAGAGCATTGATTCTATTTCTATGAAATTAAAGAACAAGCAAAATGAATCTGTGTTGCTAAAGATCAGAATATTGGTTACTTCTCAGGGAGTGCTGACCTGAAAGGTCATGGGACCTTTTAGAGTACTGAAAAAATGCTCTATATCTTGTTCTGTAAGGCTACATGGAGTTACAAACACAGATGGATAGATAGAATTCACTAAGTATATACTTAAGATTATTACATTTCATGCTCCTTATTAGAGAGAAACTATAACACCAGAAAACAGAGATGGATAGAGAAGAGGACTGGAAGCCAATAGAAAGGAGGAACAGAAACAGAGGCCATAGAAGAGCAGAAGGTCCAGACTGCCCTGGCCAGATGTGGGTCAGAAGCAGAGGGACATTAAAAAACTGAAGAGGGATCAGCAAGGGCTCCCAGGTGTCTTGTACCTGCTCCAGAGCAGCCAGGCTAGTCCTCAAGGCATTGTTCTCAGCCAATAGCCCTTCCACTTGTTCCTGCGCATCTGCACTCTGGATGGACACCTGGCCCCACCCCCACGACAGGTGAGAGCAGGTCCAGAACAGAGGGACAGGACCTACCCACAGCCAAGAAAGAAAGGGGACAGACACACAGACACACAGACCAGGACTAGGAAAAGCAAGACCCCTTGGGTCCTGTTTGCCTATAAAGAACCCACTCAGCCTGCCCTGACCCTCAACCCTAGCTCCCAAGCCCACAAAGTACAACATACTTGATCTTGTAGGGCCCGTAATGCTGCTGCATGCTCCAGGCGCTCCCCCTGCAGTTGATCTCTTAGCTCTGTCAAGCTCTGTGGGAAACAGGAAGTCAGACAAGTCCATTCCAGACCTTATCCTCCCCTAGGTACACATAACCATACAGTCCTTCTCTGAGACCTAGAAGCATATCTCAGCACCTGTGGTCTTATACTATCCATCAGAGACCTAAGGTTTACCCAGACTCCAAGTGATCGCTCATAGAAGCCTCAAACACATTCACCCCCTTTTTCCCAGCCTCCAGGCATTTCAGACACACCTAAGTTCCCGGCCTTAACTTCAGGGAAGATTATTCTCACTCAGATTCCTGCTTGCAAGCCCCAGGAGTTTCAGCCTCCAGGGATCTCAGATGTATTCAGCGCCCAGGAACTATAGCTTCACCCAGACTCTGGACTCTAACCACCAGAGGTTACAAACATACTCAACCACCAACCATGTCCTAGGCTCAGAAGCCCCAGATTCACAAACTCCTAGTCTCAGAAACTGGAGAACTCAAATTCATACAACCTCCTAGTTGCCAGCTCTTTTTTCTATGTGTATGAGTGTTTTGCCTATAAGGATGTAACTGCACCATGTGCATGGAGGCCAGAAGAGGGAATTGAATCCCCTGGAACTGGAGTTACAGATGGTTGTCAACTGCCATGTGGGTGATAGGAACTGAACCCAGGTCCTCTGGAGCAGTGAGTGCTCTTAACCCCTGAGCCATCTCTCCAGACCCAAGTTTCCAACTCTTCAAGATGCTACAAACTAACCCATCTCCACCTGCCACTCTGGTTCCCCATCTCTGGTTATCTTGAGACCTAGATCACTACTAGTTCCTGGGGATTTTACCCACATTCTGTCCCAGCCCCTATCTTCTAAGAGGTCCTACTCCCACAAACTACCATATCCTCCATCCCAAGGGTACCTCATACTTTTCCCCTCTCAGGGGAAATCCAGAGGCTTCAAAGGCATACAGCCCTAATCTTCAGGTGCTGCAATTATCCATGTAGGCTTCTGTTCTAGCCTTTGAAAGTCTCAGTTTTTTGTTCACTGCCACCAAAGGTCTCAGGACCACCTAGCCCACATGAGCCCACTTCATAACCATCACAGACCCAAACTAGCTTCCCAGACCCTGAAGGTCTCAAGTGTATTCTGTCTCCAGCCTCAACTGCCCTATGCTTGAAAGTCTTGCATCTATCTACTCAACCCTCATGTCTTTGGCCCCCAGGAGTCTCAAAAGTATTGATATCACAGCTCTTACAGATCTTAACATCACCCAATTTCTAGCACATGAGGTTCACAGATAATATTTACCCTAATTCCTGGTCCCAGTCCCCAGTGGGAGTTGATCCATTCAAACTTAGGGCACACAGTCTGAGTCCTTGGACACTCCCAGTCCTCAGGGACCTCTAATTCATGTAGACTCCTATCCTAATTCCTAGGACTCTCAGGTTTCTAAGTTTCCATTTCCTAGGGGCCTTATACCCATCTGGTTGCTATTTCCAACACACGAAATCTCAGGCTTCCAAATCAGCCCTCCAAAGACCTTGAATTGCCCCCAAACTGCCAGCCTTGGTTCCCCACTCCAGGGAATCTTGGGACCCAGCTGCCCTCACCTGATTGGCAGCTTCAAGCTCCTGCTGCAGCTTCTGGGTGTGAGCCAACTGGGCTTTGAGATCTGCTTCTTTCCGCTGTTGTAATTCTTCAATTTTGTTCCTGGGGGTGACAAGTATAGGGTGTATGAGACATGGCTAGAGGTCCAGTCTTCCAACTCTGCCCCTTTGGTCTTTGGTTAATTCTGTTGGGCATGGTCCTTGTTTTTCCAATAGTGCCTATAACCCTAGTAGTTACCTGCTGTCATTAAATAGTGTTTCCTTCTCTGTCTGCAGACGGCAAAAACTAGACACAGAAAGAAAAACATATATGGGTCATTTCCATATGTCAACCCCCTCCTTAGGCCCCCAAAACCCCTAGAAAAGAGAAGTATACCTTTCCTGTTTCTTTTTCAGTTTCTCAGAGAGCTGAAGGAATGGGAGGAAGGAGTGCAGAGAAGTGATAACAATGACAATATTGATAAAATAAAAAGTAAACAATAATAATATTGACAGATATTTCATACTAAGTCCTTCCTGGAAGTCAGGACTTATGGTATTCCTGTGGAATTCTTAGAACATTCCTAAAAACTGAGTTTCTTACTGATTTTACAAATGGGAAAACTGAGTTTCAGAAAGGTTAAGCAATTTGATTGCTTAGTTGTCAGTAACATCATCTCCAGCTAGAGCCCTTGGATTTCAAAGGCCATTATTTATGCTTCCAAAACAGTAGTCAATAGCTAGTTCATAGAATAACTAGACCAGGAAGCCTAGAAAGTAGGATTCTGATTGGTTGTCTCAGCACTGGGATTCCAGGTTCTAAGAGTATTCCTATATGGGTTAATAGATAAAGCTAGGAGGAAACAGACAGGATGGTGCCTGCCATGCACAATGTAGAATGGGACCCACATTAGTTTATTCCATACTGAAAGCAACTCTGAGACGTGCGTCTCTATTTTACACATGATCAAACTGAGCCTCTGAGGAAGCACAATGCTCCTCTGCTGTCAGGAGAAAGCCAGGCAGTGGTAGCCCCACCTTAGCAAGTTCCTCCTGTAGTCTGCAGGTTTCAGCTTGCTTTGAGCTCTGTGAAAGATGGACGGGAAGATAAGGGCTGAAGTTATCAACAAGGATGGGGGAAGGTCTCTACATTTCCCTGTCCCACCTCCTTCACCCCTTCAAGCCCATGAGATGGTGATGTCACAGATAGGCATCTCCATGGAACCACAGGCAAGGACAGAGCATCTGCTTGTCTCCCAACATCCCAGTCCTAAGAGACCCAGATTTACCTCCAAGCCTTGAAGCTGCTCCCAAAGCAATCTCTTTTCTTCTTTCTCCATTTCCCATTTCAACTCTACTTCTGCCAGTGGCATGGGGGCCAGAACAGTGGAGGCTGAGTCCCCTAGGGGATCCCCTTGGCCCTCACTGACAGCTGAGGACCTCACGGCTTCTTTTCCATAGCGCTCCTGCAGTGCTGGTGAGTAGAACAAGAATGTAAGATGGCTGACAGTTTCAGAAATTTTTTGTCATGTCTCAAATAGAGAGAGAACTATCCTTCAGCATCTCAGGTTGTAGAAGATCCTACCCAAAATGACTACAAGCCTCATCCATGCCTGTCACAAATCATTTTTAAGTCCTACCCACCTCTGAAATTCTTTTTTTAAACTAATTTTGTTTTTAATTTATGTGTATGAGTGTTATGCCTGCATGTGTGTAAGTGCACCTGTGTCACGCAATGCCTGTGGAGAAAAGAAGAGGGTGTTAGATCCCCTGGAACTGGAGTTATGGACGGTTGTGTTAGCTGCCATGTGGGTGCTGGGATTTGAACCTGGGTCTTCTGCAAGAACAGCCAGTGCTCTTAAGCGCTGAGCCATCTATCCAGCCCCCAACCTCTGAAATTCTGTGTGCCATGCTCCACACCCTATTCAAAGCTCTAACTTAATTTCCATGCATATTGTACCTCATCTCATTTCTGATCACAGAACTAACATCCACCACCACATAAGCCCCAGCTGCTCGCAAAAGGTCCATGTTGCCAGGACCCTCTCATGCTCTACCAAGCTGTCTTTCAGCTTTCATCACAGACCATACTTACAATCTGGGCTCAGAATCCTTCCAATGTTCTTTCTCCACTTAGTCAATAGCTCCTTTTCAATATTCATACTGCTATACTGCTGTTGTCAAACATTTGTAAGGTACCCGGCACTAAACTAAATGCAGATAATACTACCTCTTATCTTGGCTCCATCTTTCTGGTACAGACATTTCTGTGTACTGTATAGATGAGCAAGTTTTCACTTACAGAAGTGAAATGGTTTCAAAAATCCAAAGCCACATACCAGTTCAGACAAGGCCAATCTCACTCTGAAGTTCTGCTCCTTCCCCTAAGAAGGTGATACTTTTCTTGCTCTGCTCAAGACCTAAAGTGCCTATATTCCCCAGAAAAGCCTCCATGCACCTGCCATGTTCTTCTGCAAGGCTTTATTCTCTGCCTGCAGCCTCAGCAGCTCCCCATCCACATGTGACCCAGCTTGACCAGCTCCTGTTCCCACAGCCCCTTCCTTCAGTTGCTGGTTCTCCAGCTCCAGCTGCTCCAGTTGGCTACAAAGCTGAACAGGGGTAGAGAGATGACAGAGAAACAGCAAATCAGAACAATATTCTCGAAATACATAGTACTTGGCCATACAATGTGCAATTCATTTAATTTCCACAAGAACCTATAACGTGGGTGCTCTCACACTTTACAGATAAAGACACTAAGGCAAAGATATTAAACAATTTCCAATTCACACATTTGTTAAGTAGCAAAATCAAACAGGATATGAATAGCGAGAATAACCTTCCACTTGCCCACTCTCAACCTCTCAGAAGCAGCTCAGAAGTTGTCACACCATGGACAGCCCCACTGCCACTCAGTCTGTGGAAAACCATGGGTCCTGGATCTGAGGATAGCTTCCTTTCAACCAAGGATAGCTCCCTTTCAACCAAGGTACCACAGACAGCTTGCAGGGCATTTCCAGAGTCAACATGGCCTACAGTTCTTCACTGTCAGCCTCTGGCTTTGGAGAAGTGCGCCATGCAAATAAAAGTAAGCCAGGCCCCCTGCTTACCTCCTGGTTAAAACAACAGTTCTTATAAGACAATCCTTTCCTCCAGTTTCAGATCAAACTAAGGCCCACAGAGAATTTTTATTTTTATTGCCTTGGATATAACATTATTTCTTTCATCCATTTCTTCATCTGCCTGGCTTCTATGCATCTTTTAGCACTCTACTCAGATGTCATCTTTAAAGTCAACATGGAAATTACAGGATTTTTTATTTTGTTTGGGGGGTGTTTTGTTTGTTTTGTTTTGAGACATTGAGACAGGGTCTCTCTGTAGCCCCAACTGGCCTGAAATTCACTATGCAGACCAGGCTGGCCTGGATCTCACAGAGTTCCACCTACCTCTGCCACCTGAGTACTAGGATTAAAGGTGTGTGCCACCACACCCAAGCCTAGTGTTTTATTTAATTGTAGTATTTTACCTCTGCCTTCTGTTTATTCTGACTTAGCATTAATCACAATTAAGTTTTGTTTGTTTAGATGGTTTTTTGTTTGTTTTTGTTTTGTTGAGACAGGCTCTCCCTATATAGCCCTGGTTAGCCTATAACTCTCTATGTAGACCAGATTGGCCTTGAAGTCTCAGAGATCTGCCTGACTCTGTCTCCCAAGTGCTGGGATAAAAGGTGAGCATCTCTACATCTGGCTTATTTTGTTTCTTGAGACAGAATCTTACTATGTAGACCAGGCTGACTTTGAACTCAAAATCTTCCTGTCTTAGTCTTCCAAGTGCCTGAAAAGGCACGCATCACCATGCCCGATGAAATTTTATTTTGCAACATGAAATCACAAAGTAGACAGAGTCTGAAACTAGACTGCTTGGATATGAATTCCTACCCTACCATTTACTAGCTGGGTGACCCTGGGACAAAGTATTTTATCTCTCTGGGGCTCAAATTTTCTCATCTGTTAAATTGGGATACTAAAAATATCTCATAATTGTGTTGCAAGAATTAAACGAATGAATAATGCAGAGCACTTCAAACAGGAACAGGTACAGAGGAAGTATCCTTAAGTGTGAACTATCATTACAATTATTATTAATTTACTGTATTGTAGCTTTCTCCCCATCCCATCTGCAGAATGCAAATTACCCAAGAGTTAGGACCATTTAAGTACAGCTCAAAACTTTATATTTAGAACACAGACTACATAGCAGGTTCCTTCAACTATTTGTCAAAGGAAGAGTTGAGCTGAACTGTCTTAGCAGACTTTAGCCCAGGTCTCCCTATAAGTACCTCTAGGGCCTGGGAGTAGGAAGAGGACTAGGAAGGAGCCCAGAGCAGTTCAGAAAAGAATAAACTAGACTTATAGAAGAGTGCCTACCTGTCTCATGCCACAAGAATCATGATACTTTGGAAACTGGAGGCAAGGAGCAATGAGAAGTGAGCTGTTAAGGCCAGTTATGAGAGCAACCAGAGAGCTCCAGGGACTAAGGGGTCCCCCACCAGAATGTATTAATTAAAGGAATAATGTAATAATATCTAGAGATCAGAATAACCTCTGTGGAGTAGTGGAATGGACCAACAGAGAAAACTAGAAGTAAGGAGACCAGGAGAGCAGGTGGTAGAACTGAGGCAGGCCAGGGACACAGTATAAATATGAACTCACTTCATACTAAGCAAATGCTCTTCCACTGAGCCACATTCCCAATCCCTGGATATAAGACCTTCCCCCTCCATTATTCTTTCTTGTTCTCTCCTACCCACTGGATATAAAAGTGTTTTTAAATCCTGAAAGGGATGGGGGCTATGGTATAGTGGTAGAGCACATGCTACATGAGGCTCTGGGTTGGATCTCCATCATCACAGATAAGTCAAGACATAGCTTAGAGGGAAAATGAACAAAAGAGATAATATCACTAGTGAACACTTGCATAGCTGATACTATGTACAAGGCTCTAGGTGCTTACATACATTTATCCATTGAGTTCTCACAAAAGCCCTGTAAGGCAGGTGCTGCTATCAACATCATTTTCATTTAAAATATTTAGGAACCCCCCAAAAATGAGGCTAAGTGATTTCCTTAAGGTACAGCCAAGATCTTAATCTAGGCCTTCTATTTCCAGAGTTGCTGCTTGGAACTACTGCTTGCTAAACTGCCTCTCCTGGCATTGTACCTACTTAATGATTGCTTTTTGTTTTATTTTGATTTGGGTTTTTTACTTTTCTATATGTTTTATTCTTTGATTATTGATTTTTTTTTGTCTTTTTGAGACAGGGTCTCCCTGTAGCCCCAGCTGTCCTGGAACTCACTATGTAGACCAGGCTGGCCTTGAACTCACAGAGATCTGCCTGCCTCTGCCTTGATTATTGATTTTTTTATCATGCAGCCTAGGCTGGTCTAGAACTCACTATGTAGCCAAGGATGCTCTTGAACTTTTAATCCACCTGTCTCTACCTCTCAAGTGCTAGGATTATAGGCATGTGCCACCACACCTGGTGGGAGTGCTGAGAATCAAACCCAGGGCTACATGCATGCTAGTCAAGCACTCTACTACTTAAGCCCATCCTGAGCCCTTGTGTTTTTATTTTCATTGTTGTTTTTCAGTATCTTACTTGCATACATGTATTGTGATCCTATTCCCCTTGTTTTATTTACTTATTTATCACATGGAGCCTCAGAAATATTTTTTTCTGCTAGAGAATTTTTTCCTTAAAATACACTGAAAATTTACAAAGTGATCAACCATGGAAACAGAAGATTAGTAAGAGAATAAAGAATAGCATCTCCAACTGCCCAGTAGGACTAGAACAGTCAGGACACTAAAATTGGTGAGGAGATAGAATTAGCCAATCCAGAATGAACTATGTGGAAGAAGTGGAACCTCAGACCCATTTCAGATGAAGGGAAGGAAAAGAAAAGGGAAGCAGTTCAAACACCTTCCCATTTCAATTTAGGCTTATGAACGTTACTTAAAATCCCAGAACACAGAGGCTCCATACCACTAGCCTGAAATTATACATGGGAGGCTGAACTTCAAATAAAAGGAGTGACTTAGACAGGAACCAAATGACCTCAGGACTCAAAGTCATCTAATCCCACAACAGTGTGAGGACCCACTTGTCAAATCACTGTCCCCAGCAACAGACTAGGGCTGTTTCAGTACCATGGACAGTGCTACAAGGCCAGGCACTTACCACCCTACACTGCCATGAGATTTCAACCTAGGTGGCACTGCCCACACATACACAGGTGCACCATTCCCATTCCCCCCGCAGCTATCCCAGGTGCCAGCACCTTGCTGAACTCGGCCATAAGTGTACTGTTCTGCAAACGGAAGTCCTCCTCCTGGCTGTGCAGCTTTGCCTGCAGCATCTCATTTTCACTCAGCAGTACCTCCACTTCCTGCAGTGGCAGACATGGGCCAGGACTCCAACAGGGGCAGAAAGGATGGGGAGGTAAAGAAGGAGAAAGAGGAGAAAATGGCATGGGGCAGAAAGTGTATCGGGTAGAAAGAATGAGGAGAAACACATAGGAAAGGATAAAAACGGAGAAGGGGCGAGAGGCATGGGAAAGTTGGGAGAAGGAACAATGAGGAGGGAGATATGGACAAGTAGGATGAGGGGAAAGAGGCAAATAAGGATAGGAATAAGAGGAAGTAGGGAGATAGGGAAAAGGGAAAAGTCAGGGAAGGAGAGAGGGATCAGGAGGGAAAGAGCAAAAGGAAAGATAGGAAAATAGGAAAAGAGATATCAATAGGGAAAGGATATAACAGAGCAAAGAGGAGTTAGGAAAAGAAATTAGTAAGGAAGACATGAGAGAAGTAAGTAAGTATGGGAGAAAAGAGAGAAACATGTCAGAAAAAGGAAAAACAAAAGACAAATGACAGAAACAGGTGGAAGAGAAACAAAGGGAAATTTAAAGAGAGAAACAAGTCAGAGAGGGAAACAGAAAAACAGATACAAACAGAGAGACTCAGAGGGGATAAAGAGAGAAAGGGAGAAAAGTATACGGAGACAAAGAGTGCAAGACAAATACAGGAAAGCAAAGACAAATACAGCAGTAAGGAAGTTGCAGATACACAGATGCACATTGATAAAGGCCAGTACAATGCCACCAAACAGAAATATCCCCACTAAGACAGTCTTGCAGACACACTCACCCACCATGGGCCCCCTTACCTGAGCTTTCTTGCTCTTGCTTAGTGCCTAAAAGGAAGGGTGGAAGAAAGCTAAAGTGAACAGCAATGGATCCCTCTGTAGGGTATAGAGACTACAGTAGCAAGTGTTAAGGGAGGGCAATGATGACAGGGGCTGCGGGATGGAAGAGTAAACACAGAATTTTCATAACAATTTGAAGCCCACAGAAATGACAAAAGGAATTCTGCACACAAAATTCTCATTCTTTCCTCTATGCCCTTGACAGTTTTGGGAAAGGAGGGAAAAGTGTCTTAGAATTTAACCCTTTATACACTGGATCTCCAAGCTGAAAAACTGTGACTTCATTGCTCCATCTATCCAAACACATCAATGTGCTTCCCTCCAATGCAACATGGAAATTGCTGTCCCCCTGCTGGGCAGCCAAGGGCACTGTCAGGCTCTGGAAATCAACACCGTACCAAGAAGTCCAATTTCCTGATTATCAGATTTTTGATTTCTGAATTCTATACCCCTTCATCTGTATTCTGTATTCCTTCATCTAACAAATATTTACTCAGCAAATACTATATAAAACATTACATTATACATGAGAACAAAGCAATGAAAGATACAAAGAAGAATCTACAATATCTTGAAGGGCCATGACAGGTTATATTTCACCTCATCTTAAAGGCTCTGAAAGGTGGGTTTGGTCTCATGTTACCAACAGGACTAAGACAGGATAGGAAGCACAAGCACAAGGAAACAGTGTGAATGGAGGACAGGAGGCAGATTCAAAGCAGATTTACTGATAGACTTGACTAATTAAAAGTTAGTGAATGATAGCCGGGCATGATGGCGCATGCCTTTAATCCCAGCACTCGGGAGGCAGAGGCAGGTGGATCTCTGCGAGTTCGAGGCCAGGATGGTCTACATAGTAAGTTCCAGGCCAGCTGGGGCTACAGGGAGACCCTGTCTCAAAAAAAGTTAGTGAATGAAGCCACATGTGAGGTACATGTCCATAGATCCAGCTACACAGGAGGCTAATGAAGGTGGATAACTTGAGGCTAGGAATTTGGGGTCAGACTGTGAAGCACAGCTAGACCCCATTCTCAAAACAAAGCTAGGGAATGGGGGCTGGGGATATAGCTCAGTAATAGAGAGCTTAGAGCCAGGTATGGTGGCACATCCCTGTAATCCCAGTATTTGGGAATTGGAGACAGAAGGATCAGGAATCCAAGGCCTTCCTCAGCTACACAGTGAGCACAAGGCCAGGCTGGGCTACAAGAGACTCTGTCTCAAAAAAAAAGAAAGAAATTACTTCTTAGCCTTTTGGCTAAGATCAAGTATGGAAAGCCTCCCTAGCATGCATGAGATTCTGGGGTTGATATGCAGAACCACCAAAAAACATTAGCAAATGAAAATGAATAAGCAATTGATATTAGAATGGATTAAGAATAAATTAAGCCAATAAATTAAGCAAAGCCAGCATGTTGGCACACACCTATAATCCAGACACTTGGGAGGCTGAGGCAGGAGGATCAAGAGTTCAAAGCCAGCCTGGGCTACATAGCAAGATCCTGTCTCAAAAAAGAAAAAACCCCACAAACATTAATAAAGCAAGATTAGGTTAAAATAAGCAAACTAAAGAGACTTCTGTGAGCATTTTTTGAATGACTATGAGAAAGCAGCATGTAACATTAGGTCTGATTCACTGTAGCTGTTCACAGACAGATAAATGAGTCAGATGGGTAGAGGGATGCAGGAGGTGGGTGGATGGGTAGGTGGAGGGAATTACCTTCTGAGCTTTACTGAACTCCTTATCCAGGTAGGCAACCTTCTGTCGAAGACTGGCAAGTTCTAGTGAAGGGAAAGCAGGGAATCTCAGCCTCAGGCAGTAACAGGAACTGAAGAGTCTTCCTATCAGGCCTCTAAGAGAAAACCTTGGCCTCTGTCCCCACAAAACACCCCATCTAATGAGACTCTTTTGGCTCACCAGCACCATTCTTCCGAAGTTCATCTGAAAGTTGGTAGTTGTTTGTCCGGAGTTCCAGGAGCTGAGTCTTTGGGAGAAGCCAAAAAGCAAAAAAGACTCATCAGGAAAACATTACTATCCCCAAGCACAAGGCAGTCAAGCCCCTAAGCCCTATAGACTGGACTGGCACCCTCTAGATGCCTCCTTAAGCCACTCCTAAACATCTGTGCATGCTGCATCCTAAATGAGCTGCCAGGTCCTGAACCCCTGTCCCACCTTCTCCAGCTCCACTCACAACCAAAGCCAGCCTCACCCTCCATCTCCTCCACCAATCCACTTTGCACCTGGGCCATTTGCAGGGTGTTGACATAGTCAGGCTCCTGTTCATATGTGTTCCGTGACTCTGTATGTGAAGGTCAAAGTCATCTTGGCTGACCTCTTCACACACTGAACACTGTCCTGGCCAGACCTAGAGGCCCCTGAGGGTGGGGGGTGCAGGGGATTGCCTTCCAACTTCTTTCCCAGGGGAAGAGTCTGGTATTTCTCCTTCCCAAATTTCATGAGTCAAGGGGTTACCCAAGGTCCTGCCACTCTTCAAAAGGCTTTAAAAACATATCCAAGTGCCCTTCAAGAATTAAGGGAAAGTACAATATGGGCCACTTCAAATAGTACATGTATATCTACTAGCCTTGTAGATCCCTGAAGCTGATTCTTCCCAAACCACTCACTGTCTCCCACCACACCAGGACCTTTATCTTCCTCCCAAAGCACCAGCCTCTACCCCTCTCACTCTGGTGGTCTGCTCAAGGTCAGAGAGTTTGACTATTATATAGAATCTTTCTTGCCCTGTCCTCCTAAGGACTCAGTTATTCTCTCCTAATCCTGGTCCAACTAAACACCTTTCTACCCACTTTGGAGTCCCTTCCCCAAAGAATCCAAAGGTCTTTCCTCATAAAAGTGGCACACATTTTTAGTCCCAGCACTTGGGAGGCAGAGGCAGGTGAATCTCTGAGTTTGAGGCCAGTCTGCTTTACATAGGGGGTTCCAGGACAGCTGGGGCTACAGAGAGACCCTGTCTCAAAAAGACAAAAAAAAAAAAATCAAGCGTCTACCCACGCTTCACAAGATGTCTTCAGCCATGATCCAATGGGGTAACCATATATCTTTCAGGGTCTCTCAAATACAAGGGGGACCAATTGAATTAAACTTACTCATTTAGGAGGCTGGAGAGATGGCTCAGGGGTTAAGAGCACTGACTGCTCTTGCAGAGGACCCGGGTTCGATTCCCAGCACCCACATGGCGGCTACAAACCGTCCTTAACTCCAGTTCCAGGGCAATCCGAAGCCCTCTTCTGACCTCCATGGCATTGCACGACACGGGTGCACTCACATACATGCAGGCAATACACTCATACACATAAAATAAAAATAACAAAATATTTTTTAAAAAACTTACTCATTTAGACTCTTCTGCAGTTTACAGTGGTCCTCCCCATTTAGAGTCCAGTGATCTCATCCTTACCTCCCCAGTGTGCCTCACATTGGATAATTGGTTTCCCGGGCCAATAGGATTACTTCTCCTCACTCAAGAGTTCTTCCCTCCACACACTGGACTCTAGGGTTCCCCCCTTTCAGACGTTCCCAGTAAGGTTCTCTCATGAAGGGTCTACTCATTGTGCAAGGCTATCATTCCTTCTCAGAGTACCCTTTCAGGACACTTTTCAAAGAATATTTTCATAGAATTAAGTAATCAGAGTACCAAGTCTGAGTAACCCCCAAAAGTCCAGTGATCTCCCCTCCCTCCAGTCCTTAGTAGCATTCTCTCGTCCTTCCCCCAAAGAGGTTAATGGTATTACCCATTCATCTAATTATACTGCTCTCTCTTAGCATCCTCTACCACCAATGGTACAGGAATACATCTAGGGAATACATCCGGGGGCCTTCCCCACTCTCCTGGTATAGTGGTATCTCCCACAAACTTTCCACCTCCCACCAGCTCATGGTATTGTCCTGTCAAGGGCTCCCCGAACCCCTCATGACGCAAATGGCCCAAAGCCTGCTTCTTTTCTCCCCAGACAAAATAGTTTTGCTGTCTCAAGCTCTCCATCCTTCAAAGTCTAACACTATCATCACCAGTTGATTGTAAGCTCCGTTCACCAGACCAAAGGTCTTGCCTTCGCCCCGCACTAAGGAACGCCTATTCAAAGACATTCTCCCCCGCCAACAAAGCTAACAGAATCCAACCTTCGGAACCTGGATAGAATCTTCACAGTCAACAATGACGTCACTCAGGAGCCTCAGTTTCCCTTCTTCAGACCACCCCCACATAGACTCAAGGTCCACCCAACCAAATCCTCAGAGCCGATTATGGCACGATCACTCTCTACTCCACCCCCGATCGTCTAGCCTGGTGGTTTTTCCCACAATCAGCGGCACCTGCATCCGTTGAAACTCCTCTTCAGACAGAGCTTGCGCCATGTTCCTCCCCCCCACCCCCCACCCCGTAGCCTTATGCGCAAGCGCAGCTTGTGCCGCCTGTCAGTGCTCAGCTCAGACTGAACCATTAACCTGGAATGTAGGGGAAGAAACCCAACTCAAAAGTTCAGCATTTTAGAGGCAGAGAGAAGAGGCTAAAGCTGAAAGGTCAGACAAATTTTAATTTCATGTTTCACCAAACTGTAAACTGTCTGGTGTGGCTTTTGCACATTTACAGACTACTAATTGTTGTGCGACATTATGGTAACCCTGTGTCTTCGGTGGGCTCCGTCGCTAGGGAAGTGTTCCTTCGACCAAAAAAAAAAAAAAAAAAAAAAAAATCACTCTTCCGCGATTCTCCTTTAACGAGGGGGTGGCTTAATAACTATGGAAATGAAAGCGGAAGCTCTCCTCTGCAGCTGTTCCGGCTCTCTTCCTGGTGACCACCAAATGAAGGGAATTTCACCTCATATTAAGCCCTTGGACACCTGTACTGAATGTATTAGGAATTTATTAGGAATTTAGAAATCAGAAATTAAAGATGAATATTAACTCTGTAAACTCTGAAACCAAACTGAACATTGCTGTGACACTGTGTGAAATAGATAAGTAGATAAGAAGCTAAGTTGTAACCCAGCAACCAAACAGAACCTATGTGAGTTGAGTGTCTGTGTGTTGGTGATAAGTGACCACAGGGTGTGAGCCATATCTCAAGAAAACACTGAAGTTACTGACGTAAGTCAGAAGGACTTCAGCCAGAAAAGAAATATATAAAATCTGGTAGCTAAAAAGATTCTTTTGATGCTTGGCCACACGAGACTCTGAATCCGTGGGCCTCATCCCGGCACATTGCCCAAAACCTGAGACCGCTACCT